TTGGTCACCACTCAGTGATCAATTAATTGTAAATATCACAGTCGTACATGAGATCAGTCACCGCCCGAATAGTTCAGTGGTAATGTTTTAGACTATAAAACTAGGCAAGTTCGAACCCCACAAACAGCATCAACATTCTCCGTTAACTCTATAATGTCTTTAAATTAGTTATGCAGGTTTTACAATGGAGTATATAAAGTCAACACTGATTAAACAGATTTGATTCGGTTAACAGTATGTCTCTAAATTTAGTATCATTTGTAAAAGTATTAGTAACGAGTTATAAAATGTTCGGTGGGATTATGAGGACAATAGGTGCGAATTTTTTATGATAATACACAAATAAATTTAATGGGTACTCTTAAAACCTTATATTTCATTGCACTGTGGAATATCAGAAGGTAGTACTAGGCGTATGGTTACAAAGAATTGACATTAAGAAAGAACACTGCTGTTTACATACATTTCTAAGTAACTTAAAATTACAATAGTGTTGTTTGTGGATTGAGTGAACATACAAGTAAAAGCAGCTTCGATTAAATCATTTAATTCGGTAGATAGTCGGGTAGGAAAGATCTTACTAACTTCCCTTTTGCATAAATATTAGATTGCATTATATGAACCTGTAGTGAGGTTTCCAATGAATGGAAAAATGGAAAATCCTCGACGTAGGTAAGAGAATGGCTGATTGTAAACGTAGATCGAATTTCAGAATTAAATAAATTATTCGTGTATATTGAGTAAGGTTGCTCTTTTATTAGACGGATAAGTTATCTTTAAAAAATTTTCACACAAATGATTTTGCTCTAATATGTTTGGGTGCAAATAGACAACCAATCGAATTTTTTATTCATTCAGTACTATTATTTTTAAGGAATTCGGTTTATAAAATATTAAAATTTCTATGTATAAGTTCAACATCTTTGAATTCCGTATAATGCAAACCATAAAATTCATTATTGATAAACATTTTAGAGTTCGTCCCCCTAAACCTCTTAGCGGACGAAATCGATGTTTACTCAACAATGGAGAATCCAGTGAGTGGACTGAACAGGAGATAGCCCGACTAAGAGACATAGTCGAGTTACACAAAGATTCAAAAAGTAAGAATCCATATAATGTATGCAGTTTTTAAACTTACATTTATAGTGTTTTTCACTCATGGTACTTTTCATTTTAAGGTCGATATAAAGCTTTTACCAAAATAAAATGTATACTTCTAATATTAATTGTAGATAAAATTAATTGTCCATTCGTAACTGTTGTTGTGTTTTATGATATGTTGTTTACGTCTACTTATAGATATGCTAACTGAAATCATGAATGAAAGAAAGGTAGACCATGATTTAGCTGTTCAACGTTGTTTGGAACAAGAATTAATTATGGATGAAAATCGATCAGACAAATATATTCCACCTATTCGTGCCAGACGTGTAGTAGCTGCTAAAATTCTTGAACTTGATCTAGTGGATAATGAAAATCAACTTAAAACAGCTGTCTATAAAAGGAAACGTACAAAAGTACAAAACGTGGATATGGATGTTTCAAAAGAACTTAAGAAAAACAAGAGCCGCAAGAAGAAATCTTCATCAACGTCAGATGACGAACGATCCATGAATTCATCATATGAAGAAGAAGAAGAAGAAGCAAATACTTCACACAACTCAGATTCAAAACATAACACAAATGAAAATACCAGTCCTGAATATATTAATCAGTTAGTTGAATCAGATAGATCATCTGAACAAATGGATCACATTACCTATGTGAATCATACTCAAGATGATTATACCTGTGGAGCAGTTTCTCCAAACTCAGAATCAGGGTAAAATTAGGTCTAATAACGTTATATCATGTACATATAGTTATATGGTGTTCAAAAATATCATAGTGGCTATTTCTTTTTATGTATATAAAATTCCATTTTGAAGAAATTATTAAAAATTAGGCAGTGTGTAAACCGGGATATGATGTCCATAAATTTGCGTAGACGTTTACTCATAAGTAGTAGACTGCGTAGAACTTCCTTAGGTATTCAGTTGATTTTCTTTTATCTCTAATTCATTATCCCACTCCGAAGCTGGTATGAACGTGAAGCTTGAAAAAAATCAGTTGCTGGAATAATTAACAATACTGATTGTTTTTTATGTAAGTAAGGAAAACGTTGGAAAGGCATCCCTTGATAGTTATTTTTATAGTTTTTCTTCCATAATTTCACTGTTATACACACGAGTTTCCCTGTACTTACATTTAAGCTTTCTAAGTATCTGTGAAATGACCATCATGGGATGCGCTTCTCCCCCTCTAAATGTAAGTTGTTGCTTCAGGACTGGCCTGCATCAACACCTGAACTAAGGATACGGAGTGAAGTAGTCGGACGCGTTGGCAACTTCACTTATCTTGAAAGTCTGATCAGCCCTAATGGTTTGGTGTCTGACGAATCTCAGCATGAATTCGAAAAGCTCGTTCGTTATGTTTTACTTTACGGCTGCGAAACGTGGCCATCAAGAGTAGAAAATATTCGTAAGCTACTAATATTTGACCACAGATGTCTTAGAAATATTGCTCGCATCTGCTGGGATCACCGGGTAAGTAATAGTGAGGTTAGACGCAGGGTATTAGGGAATGATGGTAAATCAGTTGATGAGGTTATGAATCTTCATCTACTGAGATGGTTGGGTCACGTGTTACGTATGCCTGAACACCGATTACAACGACGTACAATGCTATCCGGTGTTAGAGATAGTTGGAAGAAAATTAGGGGCGGCCAAACCTAAACGTGGCATCAGTGCTTGAAGACACTAACCTCTAGTCTGAGCCATGTTGGTAGATGCAGACTACTTGGTTGGGGTCCGCGTGACTATCGTAACCAATGGTTGGAGACTCTTAGTGACATGGCTCAGAATCGGTCACAATGGCGTCGGTGTATACACTCTGTCTTCCTTTAAAGTATGAGATTAAAATCGCTTTATATATTTTTATCTATGTACTAATTCATTCTTCCTGTATTATGTCCTTATATGCAGTCTTTCCTTTATATATTACCACCACTGGATCAACTACTTCTATGAATCCGGTGTTCATCTTGTTGTGCTAATGAGGTATGGCAACCTGGACCGATGTACATATGAGCCTGGTTTTACGTTGTAGCTGATTGACCATCGTAATTCTAGAAATTCTAAACAGATAAAAACAAGAAATTGCTTCTCTAGTACATGAACAAGAGTAAACATCGCTTCATGGAACTAAAATAAAATGTGTATTGGTTAATACCGAACTCAACTATTATATATGGTTTCTACACCTGTGGACCTGACAGTCCTGTGGTGCACGACTTCTTCCTGATTCAATTGCTGATATTAAATCTAGTAATAATTTCCCTACATTTGAGTGTGATAATGGCAATCGCTCATTTGAAGTCGCATCGCAAGTTGGTATTCATTAGTATCTACTTATGGAACCTAACGTTAACCAGATATAGCGTCAGTTACCAAATATTGGTTTCATGTTTAAAATAAGCACTGACTGTCAGAGTTTGATTCTAACCCTTATTGTGCTACATGTTAGAACTCTATTCTCGGATATGCTTATGCTAGTATTCATATGCAACATTTTTCTATTATATTTACTCTATATTTCACAAAGGTCTCCGAAAATGCCAGTTCAAAAGAGAAGGCGTCTATTATCCTCAGATGATGAAAATGAGGATGGTCATGATACTTATCATTCAGACTCGTAAGTATTCCAATTATATGGTTTTGTGTCCGCATCATTTATCCTTCAGTGTATTACTCTAAACAGATTGTACATGTTTAAACTAGTGATTGGTGACAGCTTTATAGTGAAAAACCGGAGACTAGATAATAGTGAATCTACTACGTATTTTTGAAATTAATTGGCTTTATTTCGCGTTTCTGATATAATTAATTTAAATTCGTACGCCTTTTTACCAATAAAAATTCTTGTACACTTAAAAAGATATTAAATCATCCTGATGATTATCTCATTAACTCATTAGACCTAAATCTTAATATTGATATTTTTTGTCCCCTGGCTTAACTGATACACTCTACAGGTGAAAGTTGCTTAATTGTTTCGCTCGATGAGAGATCGTATAATACATGAAACTTTCCTGTTATATTCTGGAACACTTAAGCGGATAACTTTGCCTGTTCTTCACTAGCCCAGAACAATGAGCTTTTGTCAGTGTTGCGGGAATTTCACTATAAATCTAGACAAGCCAGAATTGCGTATACAAAATGAACTTATGTGATTTCCTTTACCATGGTCTTAACTTCCAATATTACAAAGCGTTTACCCTGTGCTTTATCTCCATTGATCATAACTCTCAAACTTAATTCTGTTTCCATTATTTCCTTCTGATTACATTTCCACATTTTACGCAACTCTTTCGCACAATTATTAATCTTTATGAATATTCAAATTCTTAATAACTACACTTGGAGTTTCTTAATAAAAATAAGATTCTTTCATGCTTTTGTTTATTTTGCCTCTTTGTTATTATGATCACAGTAACGTGAGTTTTTTTCACTTGATATCTTGACTCTGTATGTGAAATCACAATCCTTAATGTAACAAGTTTATTAGGATTTGTTTTTGAACTGCTAACTATATATGTACTGTTGATTTGTGTTACTTTTTACATCTTCATTGTGTTTTTTCAAAAAAATTTCTTTTCTTGTTTTGGAAATATAGACCAATGGAAATACGACATCCTGAGAATGATGAACCTGTTGGGGGTGTATTTCGTAGAGTGCAAATATTATCTTCGGACTCTGAATAAAATGCAAATATTTATTATCTCTCAATTACGTACTTTTTCATTATTCCTATGTACTTCTTAAATAAGAAAGTTCAGCTAATGAGAAAAAAGGACCTTTTCTTCTAGTCACATTTACAAGATTAAAGGACAGAGTCTTCTATCTAAGATTCCTTGGATTTGTTTGTTGTACACGTGAACGTTCGAAAAACCAGCTATTCGTATATACATTTTTACTCTTATAAAAGTTAGAAATTTATTAATCAGCACATTTTTTACAGCTGTACATGAAAAATCTTATCGTTTTCGTTTCAACGAAAGTTTTTCCGCTACATGCAAGCCACCTACAGCAGGTGGTCTAACGATATCCAACTTTTGTGCCATTTGAGGAGGGCCTTCTAAGTTTTCATTTTGAATTTTAGCGTCAATAATAAGTTGATTAAGAAGAGCTTTTGCACAATGTGGTTTTATTCCCAACTTTGCTTGTCCCATTGCCCATTTGTCACATGCTCTGATCATTGGAAATATAAGATGATGAACTATGAAATCTTTTAATCTAAAATTTATAGTTGTTGTACTTGTTGGTTCTGTCGTTTTTCTTTTCTTTTCTTTGACATTTGTACTTGAACTATCTTTTATAACTAAACAACTTGAAAGATGCGATACAATTGATTCTAAAGGGACTTTAATCGCTCGAGACATTTCAGCATAAACTTCATGATCTTCAATTCTGAGAGCATGAAATGGTCTGACAATTGCAGCCATACAACTACAAAGCAATTCATCCAGTTGATCAGATGATATATCCTGTTGACTACCTATAACATGACAAATGAGAAAAACATTTATTTGGTTTATACTCGATATTCATAGTTAAGCCCGTGTTGTTTACCGATTTTTTACCAAATCGTATCAAACGCGTTGGCAAGTGCTTCTGACTCGTGTTTGAAGGCTACTGAATTGAAACGTTACATAGACCAGAGTCTTAGAAACGAATCGAAGTGTTATTGTATGCAGCACATATGTGATCAACCTGGACCTATTGTACCTAAATCATAGGTCAACATCTTTAACACGTTGAGTTGGCATTTTAGTTTATGTTCATAATTATCCCTTGACTCGTAGTGTTACTGTCTTCAAAAATTGTCACCGCGCCTGAATTAAAAAAAGTTTAACTATTATCCTACTTATTAAAATTGTCCTAACTGATGACCATAGCATGTAATTTCTTCAGAAGGTGAATTGCTAACTTAGCAGTTTGTCTACCACAACAACCAATTCTATGCAATAAATACAATGTAGACAGATCGTTCCTTTCGGCATTAGTTTCTCAAAGACTGACAGTTGAGGCTAAAAGGTCAACATATTTTTAGTAGTGCGATTGCCTATTGTTTACTTGGTGGTGGACATGGTGTCAACATTTTGAAATAACTTTGTATTAATTGTTTCGTTAAATCCAGGACAAACCAGATATGTCTATTCAAAAAGTACCATTTTCAGTCTTGCACTGGCCTAGTGATCACAATTCTTAATACTTTGATAGATAACATATTTCATGCTACCAGTTACATTCCTTATAACCAATCCATTGTTTATAACACCTAAATTTTCGCGCTAGTTTTACGTTTCTACAAGTATATTTTCGAAAATTCCCCAGTAAAATATTCATATTAGTTAGCATAAATAATAAACTGTACGAACATTTCTAGTTTTATTCACTTCTTTTACCGATGTTCACTGATGAAGACCTTTCTGTCGATTTGATGTAAGATATGTAGATCCGTTTGTTACTTAATTCATACTATTGTTTCTGAATTATAAGCAGTTTAAGAGAATCCGTAAAATAAATGGATGTTTATTATTCTACTATGCTTGTTGTCATTGCTTTATTCAAATCAAAAGGATTTGATCAGCATTATGGACTAGATTATACGATATTGATCATTACCAAATACAATTAACTACAGCTCAACAACTACATTCTAACTTCACTGATATTAGCACCGGGTGAGGAATTCTAATCACTGAGCAAGGTGATAGTCCCTTCAAGATTACTGTTGTGATAGAGTGGGTATCGAAAAATGTTTGACTCTTGGGACTAATTCACGGACTATCATTACTTATACTTCTATTGTATACCTAGTAGATAACAATCGTATTCCTATACATCCCTTTATTGTAAGCCAACAATGAGCCTACTGATTATCATGTGTTTTACTGTTTCTTAATTATTGTTAATGAATTATGTACTGTTCTCCATGACTTATGATACGATTAAATCGGAAGTATGATTTTACATTCGGGGTACATTGTGTTCTCGCAATTTATGTATAGAAGCTAATAAGTATTTGAGATATATGCTCAGTGGTTCAAATACGATAGAAGCTTAGGTGTAGACCGTTCCCCCCATTATTATTATTATTATTATTATTATTATTATTATTATTACACTACCTTACACTAATCTGGTCGTTATTGTTCTTTTTTCTGCGCTCCTTACCTTCCTTTTTTTCTCTTCCCATTCTCATTGTTTGTGTGGCCCATATATATTTGGTGCGCTCTTGTACCAATATTTATGTGTTCAAATAAATAGGTGTAGACTTTTCTTTTAGATTCACAACTGGGGATAGAGAAAGGTATGTGGATAGACGAGTTAATAGAAGTCAAGCCTACGTCAGCTTGAGGTTGATTGTGTCAGTCAGAACGTATGATTGCTCAAGACTAGGAATGTTGGACTACAGACAAAATAGCGGACGCCGGGTGAAGAAATTATAACTGAAATTCTGATTGATGGATTTGGCGCATGATGTCGATTGGTGTCTCAAAACAACAGCGACATATATGCTTTATCAACGAGTGCTAACTAGCATTAAAATAGATCCAGAAACTCTAGCTAACTGCATCCAACATAACACAAAAAGATGGACACATCTTTTTATTTAGAAGTAGACCACCTAAAAGATATAACAAAATATATTAACGTACTCATGATTATCATGCAGAAAGTAAACTGACCTTTTCCTGATCGATCTATTATAGCAATCACTGCATCCGTAATCATTTGTAGGTACCAGTGCGGTGAGTTAAAAATTGATGACCTAAACATATTCTCATAAGCAGTCAGAAAACGCCCAGTCCATATAACAGCATTATAGAATCCAGTCATACTCATTACCTATAGAATTAAAAGGATTATCATTAACTTCAATAAATAATAAGTGAGTGCATTATTTTTAAGAATATCATAAAACATCGCATGCACAAACCCGACAAAGGATACATTCTCGGTCACATATCCTTAAATTACTCTGTCGTGCAGCTTCACATGTTGTTAATCCACAATAATCCGGCGGGCAATGTAATGGAGAACTTATGAAACAAAAGTTTATAAGAACTGAATAATGACAGAGGTAGCTGTATCAATAACGTACGCCTATTGTTCAGAAAATACTGACATTATCTCGTCAGAATTATACGGCGCTAGATAATCGGTGATTAGTAACGAAAAATTATAGCAACATCTAAATATTGACCTTAATAATGCAATCACTTGTTCCTTGATTGCTTTTGTTGATGAAATTTATCTCTTTTCTTCACTTATTGGAAGCTTGGTACTTTGAATAGTGACACTTCTACCTGAAGTTTGTGCTGATGATGTCGTTCAGAAGAACGATGAAAGCTCTACGACCGAACTATCCACCTCAGAGAACAAAACTCCATCAGAATAGCGACATTATTATACAGGCTTTTAACTATTGTATCCGCCTTGCTTTTTTGTGAACATATAACGAGAACCCGTAAATTCTTACAGACTATAGTTAATAATACTAGTTGGGAAGCCATCCTAATTTTTATGTATGGTAATTAATATTGGCAAATTTAGTATAAAACTCAGACTAGATAAATATTGAGTGACTGGTTTAAGACCAATGTACTATTGGGTAGTAGGAATTTTGTTTTCATTTAGCAATGAACTGAGCATCCACAAATTTATCGTTTTTGCTTGACAGTAACTTTAAGATACAAGATTTAATTATACACGGGACAAGAAACTAATTTGACGGAACTAGGTAAAGGGAATTCACAACTGGTGTCTTATCTCAAGACTACAAAACAAGTATACTGAATGTCCCGACTGTTGTTGCTACCTTGACGTGGTGGTCGGGCTTGCCTATCGTGATGAAGCAACCGAGCTATACTAGCTGGAACAACTGTTCCTTAAAGTCCTACCATGTCAGACAGGTCGGTTGAAGAGCGGTAAGACTAAAAGCAACAAACCCAAGATCCGAAGGCGAAGTCGTACTGCTGACTGTACAGAGGTGTGACAGCAGTAAGGTGTTTCCTTCAGACAACCATCATGACAGCGATGCTGCCTTCCCACAAGGAGGGGTGAGGTTAGAAAAGGTCGACCCTAAAAATGCACACCTCACCTTACCTCACGGATTTCCGTCTCCGGCGGTAAGGCCCTCTGAAGAACGGAGCTAACACGTCAAAAACCTCCCACGAAAAGGCCGTTCGCGACCGGCCTCAAGCAGTTGTCCCTTGGGCACTGCAGTCACGCTCTCAGGTCACTGAGACCACCTCTAATCCAATTTCCTTTCCAGGTACCTCCAGAAGAACCCTTCCTCGGTGTGGGCAACCGGGAAGTGATAACCGCCCTCATACCTCTAACAGCACTCGAGACCACTGTATTCATAACCAACCTCCGTCTTCACTTCCTATTATTCCTCCTACATAGACTTTCAACTCCAAACCTCCTCTTTCGGCTTCCTCCTCAAGTGTCACCATAGCCAACGATTCTAGTGCTCAAAACTCTGTCCCAGGTCTACTGAAACCTCGATCCAAACTACACATCGGAGCCTTCAACGTACGAACCTTATGTCAAATCGGTCAGCAGGCTTCCTTGGCTAAAACCCTAGAGTCTCTTTCCATTGATGTATGCTGTGTCTCCGAAACACGCATACAGGATTCCAGTGTGGTTAGTCACTTGACCTCATCTCAGCAAAACGGAGAGCCAACGAGATACACTCTACGTGTATCTGGTGACCCGATGGCAAGTTCTCGTGGACTGGCAGGAGTAGGCATAGCACTAAGCATGAGGGCCGAACAAGCACTGCTAGAGTGGATCCCCGTTAACAGTCGTCTATGTGCTGTTCGGTTAAACGGCTCCGTAAGAACTCGGAAGGATAGGGATATACGTCGTTGCCTTTTCGTCGTTTCTGCCTACGCTCCCATTGACTGCAGCTCAGATGAAGTGAAAGATGAATTTTACAGAAAGCTGTCCGAACTTTTTCAGAAAGCTAAACGCTCAGACATAGTACTCATAGGGGGTGACCCTAATGCTCAGATAGGCAGTTTAAACCAAACAGAAAGGCATTTAGGTGGATATTTTAGCATTCCGGCACAGCGAACAGATAATAGTAATCGTCTGCTGCAACTGTGCTCAGACAATCATTTATTTTTAGCAAACACAAATTTTAAGCATAAGGAGAGACATCGTCTAACATGGCGACCCCCTACAGCAAACCAACGATGGACTCAAATAGACCATATTGCCATCAGTCATCGTTGGAGAGGGTCGGTAGAAGATTGTCGCTCATTCTGGAGTACCTGCTTGGACTCCGACCACGCCCTAATGCGGGCACGCATCTGCTTGCGCCTCACTGGACGCAAAAAAGCCACATTAAAAAGACCCAACAGAACTGAGTTGAGTAACGAGAAAACCAAAAGTAGGTTCCAGGAACAACTGAGGTCACAACTAGGTAGTTCTGAAAATGAGGCTGACCCAGATGTTGCTTGGAAAGCCATACAAACAACTGTGGATACAGCAGTGACATCTATCAGTGATTTAAACCACAGGGTTACAAAGAACCAGTGGATTTCTTCAAGGTCTGTCACACTGATGGATTCTCGCAAGCTCGTCCCATCAGGCTCTGAACATGATGAAGAGCGTAAACAAATCAGATCTAGGTTAAGAAAAAGTCTAAGGAACGACCGTGAGCAGTGGTGGGTAACGAAATCAAAAGAGATGGAAAAGGCGGCGACTATGGGGAACACAAGACAGCTTTACAGACTAATAAAAGAAACTGGAATTAATAAGTCAAGTGTAAGTCAGACTATTTCGGAAAAAGGTGATACTCTCATCTGCTCCCAGTCCAGACGTTTAGAACGATGGGCGGAACATTTCAGAGAACAGTTCAGCTGGCCTTCAGCTACTCTACAACTACCCTCCATTCCCAGACAGTGTGAATGGAACATTGAAGTAGATCCCCCAACTCTTGCTGAAGTTCAAAAGGCTATAGTTATTCTGAAGCGAAGAAGGGCAGCTGGTCCAGATGGACTGGCTCCAGAGGTCTTTAAGGATGGTGGTCCAATTTTAGCGATTAGGTTGACTAATATTTTAGCTAAGATCTGGGAATTAGACTTTATCCCATCTGACTGGTCGCAATCACTTATCGTCCCAATATATAAGAAAGGGTCAAAATCATCCTGTGACAACCACAGAGGGATTAGTTTAACTAATATAATATCTAAAATACTAGCTTCGATAATTATCAGACGCCTAACTAAAACTCGTGAACTGCAAACACGAGAGAATCAAGCTGGTTTCAAACCTGGTCGTGGCTGCATCGACGACATATTCACCATTCGTCAGGTTCTAGAACATGGGCATACTTATTGGCGTCCGACAATGGTGGTCTTTCTTGACTTAAAAGCAGCATTTGACTCGGTAGACCGCGAGATTCTGTGACAGTGTCTGTCATTGAAAGGCGTACCACAGAAGTACATAAACCTTGTGAAGGCTCTTCACTCGAACACTACTAGTCGAGTGAGAGCTTATGGCGAACTGTCATCTGCTTTTTCAACCTCAAGTGGTGTCCGTCAAGGCTGTCCACTTTCTCCATTTTTGTTCAACTTCATCATCTGCTGATGGAAATTACATTCTCGTCGACTGAGTTCTCGGGTATTGATCTCCATCCAGGAGGTTCACTTATCGACTTAGAATACGCAGATGACATAGTCCTGTTTGAAGACGCTGACAAAATGCAGAGTCTTTTGGTAGCACTAAGCAACAATGCCAGAATGTTTGGAATGCGTTTCTCTCCCTCTAAATGCAAGTTGTTGATTCAGGACTGGTCTGCGTCAACACCTGAACTAAGGATATGGAGTGAAGTAGTCGGACGCGTTGGCAACTTCACTTATCTTGGAAGTCTGATCAGCCCTAATGGGTTGGTGTCTGACGAAATCTCACCACGGATTCGAAAAGCTTGCTTGGCTTTTGCCAACTTACGTCACCTTTGGCGGAGGCGAGATATCCGTCTATCAATAAAAGGACGGGTATACTGCGCGGCAGTCCGTTCTGTTTTACTTTACGGCTGCGAAACGTGGCCATCAAGAGTAGAAAATATTCGTAAGCTACTAGTATTTGACCACAGATGCCTTAGAAATATTGCTGGCGTCTGCTGGGATCACCGGGTAAGTAATAGTGAAGTTAGACGCAGGGTATTAGGGAATGATGGTAAATCAGTTGATGAGGTTATGAATCTTCATCGACTGAGATGGTTGGGCCACGTGTTATGTATGCCTGAATACCGATTATCACGACGTGCAATACTATCCGGTATTGGATTTGGTTGGAAGAAAGTTAGGGGCGGCCAAACCAAAACGTGGCATCAGTGCTTGAAGACACTAACTTCTAGTCTGAGCCATGTTGGTAGATGCAGACTACTTGGTTGGGGTCTGCGTGACTTTCGTAACCAATGGTTGGAGACTCTTGGTGACATGGCTCAGAATCGATCACAATGGTGTGGGTGTATATACTCCCTGTCTTCCCTTAAACTAAGTCAGTCAGTCAGTCAGTCAGCTACAACGTAGGACCAGGCACATATGTGCATCGGTCCAGGTTGCCATACCGCATCAGCACAACAAGATGAACACCGGATTCATAGCAGTGGTTAGGTCAAAGGTAGTAATATGTAAGAGAAAGATTGCATATAGAGATATAGTACAAGAAGAAAGAATTGGTTCGTAGAAAGAAAGATATGAAGCGATTTTAATCTCTTAGTTTAAGGGAAGACAGGGAGTGTATACACCAACGCCATTGTGACCGATTCTGAGCCATGTCACTAAGAGTCTCCAACCATTGGTTACGATAGTCACGCGGACCCCAACCAAGTAGTCTGCATCTGTCAACATGGCTCAGACTAGAAGTTAGTGTCTTCAAGCACTGATGCCACGTTTTGGTTTGGCCGCCCCTAACTTTCTTCCAACCAAATCCAATACCGGATAGTATTGCACGTCGTGATAATCGGTATTCAGGCATACATAACACGTGGCCCAACCATCTCAGTCGATGAAGATTCATAACCTCATCAACTGATTTACCATCATTCCCTAATACCCTGCGTCTAACTTCACTATTACTTACCCGGTGATCCCAGCAGACGCCAGCAATATTTCTAAGGCATCTGTGGTCAAATACTAGTAGCTTACGAGTGTCTTCTACTCTTAATGGCCATGTTTCGCTGCCGTAAACTAAGAGGTTAAAATCACTTCATATCTTTCTTTCTACTAACTAATTCTTTCTTCCTATACTATATCCTTATATACAATCTTTCTCCTATATATTACCACCTTTGACCTAACCACTGCTATGAATCCAGTGTTCATCTTGTTGTGCTGATGCGGTATGGCAACCTGGACCGATGCACATATGTGCCTGGTCCTACGTTGTAGCTGACTGACTATACTGAAAGTAAAATATGAGAGGTTCTGACAGTATTCGGTAAGTAATGCCTTCTGAACGTCTTGGGTGTGATAAGCAAATAAACTTATGACGAGTTACACTAACAGAGACGACCGAGATATGTACTGCTGGTATTCCATAACCCTAACGGTGAAAATACATGCTTGAATAACCGACAAAAAACCTTAAAATTTGTGCTAGTCATTTAGACGCGCGTACAATCCGATTTTGCACCTTATCTTGTTCGCTATGGTCCTGTTATGGAAGATGACCATGATAATTGAGTTTTTTCCTGAATGCCACTTCATTATGGTGTTCTGAAGTAAGATAAATTTAAACGATGAACTAGTATGTTAGGTAATACGATGTTCTTTTCTGCAAATCTGTACTTATCGCTGCATTGAAACGAGCAACAAAAGCAGACTGGAAAATCCACATCAGCACCTAGTAACGTGAATGAATTAAACAACCTTTACTATAGAATATATAGGTTGTGACAACACGAGTTTGACTTATTAAATTTACATTAATAAGCTATTTTTAACCTGATTGCCAATTTACATCACGAAAAAGCAACTTGTGGCTCTAAACGTCGATACATAAGCTTTATACTGATGGAGAAAATCATCAGAAATTTCATGTAATCAAATAATTCATAATACGAAAACAAACCTCATACATCGGGCAAGTGAAACCACACAACCATATATATGATTGTGGAAAATTCTTAAGCAACGTACGATCCATAGCAGCTTGAAACCACAGTTGCAGTAGTAAAGTATAAATTTTCTCATATAAGCAGACATTAGTGTCATTTGGTTTTAGACCACTTGCCAAGCAACTTCTCAAGCGTTTCAATATGAAAGGTGACTGTCGTAAGCTAAAAATTAATGGTTCCAGTAAAGAATTTTGGCAGTCAGGATTTCCAAGTAGTTGTTTCAACAAACTTAGGTTAGAAAAAATTTTTTTGAAGGAACCTGTTTGCAAATTATCTTGAAAACATGAAGGCAATTGACGTGGTTTGTCTTTAGTATTAACTTTGATTTCATCAACTTTGACAGGTTGCACCGGAGGTTCATCAAATTCAATACAGCAGTCAGATAGGTCATATGTTTTTTTATACTTGCAAGACATTAAAATTCCTGCATTGCTAGATATTGCACTTGAAAATAGAAGATCTATTAGCGTTCGTGAAGTAGGTGGTGTAAAATAAGGTCTATTCTTTGCCTGATTATAGAGAATATGGCGCAATATTTCTGGCACAGTTGGATGATCCAAAATAGTTTCATCTAAGTCCACAGAATTCTTGACACAGAACGAAGGTGAAGGTTTACAACCTTGATTATGTACCCACTCTGCACAAGCATAGAAGGTGAACGCTAACATGCAATATGACCATGATAAAAGTGAAGGAAGATTCGTTTTTTGTTGCTTTATTTTTTCACATAATCTTGGGAATATAGACTGATTTAATTCTTTGATAGTTGTCCAAATATCTTCGCTTTCTAAATCTGACCGATCACAGTTTCTCAGAACGCTTAGTTCCAATAAACATAGACACAGTGTGAAAATACACAGAAGTAGGTTGGAGATTTCTGACGACGCTTCTAAGCCTTCCAGTAATAGGGATTTGATTTGTTTTCTTAATACCATGGGAATTCTCATGAAAACTAACTGTAACTGCCTGATTTTGCTAATAAATGGTGCTATAGGATTAGTATTTGGAATTACATCATCCAGGCTGTTGCGGATTTCAGTCAAAGTTGAAGAAACGCTGGTCCGGTCTGTGAACGGAATCATATTAAAGAAGTCCATTAAAATGACCGAAGAGGTCCTCCTTTCACCATTAACCATGACTGAGTGATTCTGCGAAAAATAAGAGTGGGATGAAAACAAGTTTCCTGTTATGTAACAAAATACCCTAAAATAAACTGTTTTGTAAAATGACTCCATGAAAGCAACTTGAAGACACTGACTCATAATAGTTGGTTAGACGACCTTCACTATTTTGCAGTTCCAGCAATATATAAAGCACTGAGTCTTATACTTGTTAAAATCCTGATGGCATGCCCAATTAAAGTTTAAAAAATGGAACCTGGAATCGATCCAAGACATCACACATCAAAACAGTTATAACAAAATCAACCAGAATCGGACAACTATTAGAACAATTAGGAAGGGAATAGAAGGCTGATGGGGTAAGAAGCGATGAGTAAGAAGCGACTAACATGAAGGATATGTGTATGTAACATCCAAATAAGCTAATTTAACACATGTATGTAAGGTAAATGTAATAATCTAGATTTAATGATTGATAGTGACACTTGGAGCTTCTTTCTTCATTGGGAGAGATTCGGTCAACGAAGATTTGTGGACCCATAGAAGATGAATATTTTTAAGGTTGCTCACTTTCCTCAACCAAGAATGCAGATTGGGTAAAATTCCAGTCAATTCTTATCCCTAGTCTAAATTTCATACTCCTGATAGGGACCGAGTGTTGTCACTACACTTTAGTACAATCAGAAGTGCTACCACTTTGAACTCAACCAATGTTAAAAAGTAATTTTAGTCTTGTCTATCTCCAGATGACTATTGAAATAGTAGAATAACAAGGCTCTCCTACTCTTATTACAACTTGTGTGCGTTTAGTAGACATCTAGTGACCTAAAAAACACGCATACTATTTTTCATAACTGTTCACACAGTTAATCACGAACTTCAATAAGATAAATATCGCAATATTTACTCAAAATCAATCACTTTTGTTAATATCAACTATAGATTAAGTCTTCCTATATCTACTTTACTAAAATATACAATTTAAAAAGCAAGGATACATTGGTCTAACACTGATTTTGGTCAATTTGTATTGACATGTGATGTTTTCCGAATAATATGATATGAAAATTTGTCGGATAGATATAAATATATATGTCGTTACTCATTTTTAGAAATTTTATAGACTGATAGATAGACAATCATGGTGTGGCAAGAAAACTCATTAAGACTAACCATGTGAGCACGGCAACGGTACAGTGGTAACTTCCACTGACTGAGGTTACTGAGCGCTTCAAGGTCAAACCACCGTAATACGATTGGGGCGTCACCTCGATAATTCGTAAAGTTTTGCAGAAGCGGTCAAATCCAGACAATTTTAAATTTGATTTGAGTTCGACCATACTGTCTGATAACGTCCATACTTCAAGTAATGAAAGTGATGTCATCGTGATGATGCATGATGTAGGACGAATCTCCAATGATACTCCGTACTTCACCCTGTAGCGGTAAATAAATCCCCAAAATAAATAGCTCTGTAAGTTTACGACATTGGATGCTGATCACATTAGTTTCAATGGACTCACTTAGCTGAAGGCGCTCGGTCATTCATCCGCACCAGATCACGAGTGGGAACACCGTGCTCAACAACCCCTGCAACCGCTAGCCAGATTAGATCAGACGATCCTCGATATATTGATATCACATCAAATGTATCTTCCAATCTTCTCGATTCCGTCTTTTGATTTCACTTGGTGGGTACGATTCATGTTAGAAGATGTTACTGGTTAAAGCGTTGTCAAACTCCGAATACCTGTGGCATCTTCATTGGTGAGCCCGACGTGGTCTGGTACGCCAAATTGCAAACTGTGAGTTTATTCCTTTTAGGGATTTTATATATCATTGCCTTACTCTGATTTTTTATACATTGTGATATTTGTTTCGTGTTTTTGGATATATATTTTTTTCACTCGTTCATTCTCGTACTTGATATTTCACTATGACTGAACAGACACCCAAAGTACTTAAGCTAAGGACTATGTCCCCATCTTCGTTCCAACTAATGCCCTTTTGGCCAGACAACATCGAAGCCTTGTTCTGCTACTCAGAAGCCGACTTCTACGAGCACGGCGTGAACGACACACGTGCACAATTCCTCGCAGTAGTCAAGGCACTACCGCGCGAATTCAACAGGTGCGTAACACCTAGTATGTTTACTAGTGATGCTTCTGAACCCTACGAAACACTGAAACGATCTATCCTTAAATGCGGAGACCTAACCGATAGACAAAGGTTAGACCAATTCCTTAATAACATTGACTTGCAACACGGTTCTGCGACAGACATGTTGCAACGAATGAGAGAGGTTGTCGGCCAAAAAACCTTCGATGATGGCCTATTTGAACAACTTTTCTTATCCAAACTTCCTCAACAGGTGCAAGCTGTGCTGTTCTCGTTTCAAAACAACACCTTAGACGAGCTGGCTGCATCTGCCTACCGCATCTTAGAAATCACCAAATCTTCTAATACCGAGGTTTTGTCAGTCAAAGAAAAGCCCCAAACGACCTAGAATGATATTACAGAGTTATGTCATACACTTACGCGTTATCTTGAATTTCTTAACGACCGTAAGCGATCACACACCCCACGTAGAAGCACTTCACGTAAGCGATCTGTCTCTAGACCACGAGAGACGGATAACCCAGACTAGCGCTAGTATCATAACCAGTGTGGAAAGTCCTCCAGAAGTTGCAGAAAACCCTGCAATTTTCCCAGCTCAAAAACGACCGACACGAAGAACAACTCGGGAAACTTGTTTTTGGTTGATCAATAAGAATGACCAACTCCACGAAATTTCCAAAAGTCTGCTGAAAAGGTAAACAAACGGTTGACAAATTAGTACAATGAATATATACATGAAACTGGACAAATACATGTCAATATACACAATTCGTGTTCCGTGACAGATCTATATTTTGTGACCCCTCGTATTATAGAGTAGCCGGTGTTCATAAATGTAATATTTGTTCGCAAATTTTATTGATAAAGCGGCTACCTTGATTTAATTTAGATTACTTCAAACAACAGCGACCTGTCTTTGGTTATCAGTCTCAAATGAGACTGTAATATTTCACTTCTACCAAGCGTCATACGTTTCAATGAACTCTCTGAAGCGCCTTATAATAGCGTTTATTTCTGCTACTAGCCCTCTTTACAAGAGCATCGGTTATCTAGAAACTGAAACTCTGTACAAGAAGTGATCATGAAGTGTGATTAGAACTAGACGTACGTTCTGCGAATGAACACTGGATATACTGATCACCTTTTTTCGAAATGAACGCTATCTTATGATACACAATAGCAGCAGCGACATCCAGTGTACTTCTTTTCCCTTCGCAAGCAAATTGATTTGAGCCAATATGCTCATTAAAATCATGCTGATGTAAAAGTCGCTCCAGTTTTGCTGTCATTTCAATAAAGGCTAAGTTATTACAATTGGTCTGTATAACTACTGTCTTACGTGTAATTTATTAACGAAATGAGTTAGTGATATGTAAAGGCTAGTGGAAATATGATTCAACATATAACATCCTCGTGATTCCCCCTGTTCTGCACAAATACTAAGATATCAACTTCAGCTTCCTGAAGCTGTGTACGCTGTAATGTATAAATAATCTCACACTATTCGTTTTCTAGTGGTAACTCTTCTTTCCCTCTAAATAAATATTCTTAAGATTATGAAGTTTGTAATTAAGACAATAACTTGTGTTACATTTAAATTGACTTCTCAGACTCGTTTTATCTTCACTATGCATATATGGTTCATGCATATTGATATTTCATTATCCTTTTCACTCAACTGAGACTTTCATCGCATCACTCCAAACTATGACTGCACAAACATTTATTCTAGCGTCACATCTTACTACAATAATAAGTTGTTTTCTCTTAATTATTTTTTGTTATTAATTTGACGATATATATATAGTCGTTAGTTCTTGTTTTATGTTCATAAATACGCCAGTTAAACTGTTTGCGTATTTCACATCTCCTTTATTTCTATTCCCTTATTTTCTCCATTTCCTTCTTTAAACTCAATTCAATATTCTTTTCAATTACACAGACCCGATTTATTATTATTAATATTCTACTATTATTACTCTACTTTTTTAAAAATATGGCAAGTATAATGCTAACGTTATTGAAAATTGTGTATTATTGCATTTTTTGAGGAAACCCGAAATGGTTTCTTCACAACATTTATGTACCCATAAGATGTTTGTGAATAATAATAATAATAATAATAATAATAATAATAATAATAATAATAATAATAATAACAATAATAACGCGAATGGGTGAGCAGCTCTACTTAATAAACTGATCTGCTTCATTACATGCTTCAAGCACTTTAATTAAGTATGGTATGCTTATGTCGATAAACTTAATTATACGATAACCAGGAATACTAAATTAAGCAGGTATCATAATTGTTGATTCATTTGCACAGAAATGTTACCTAAAGTAGTTAAATGTAGATAATTAAGCCTATAAACCCAAGACTGTAAAACTTACCTAACAGAAGACAAACGATATTGTTTTGAGATTAAGGCCGACAGTCATTTACGCATAAAACACCGTTTACAGCACAATAGACCTTTCTCCATTAACATTCATTGACTGCCTGCTTTAAGCCAGCTTAAAACAAAATTACAGCCAGAGCGAAATTCATTGCGTGATCTAGTTTTTTTTTAATAAAACATGCATAGCATGGCAGATAAAAAGACAACATGAACGTAAACATGACCATTATCCCGGTTCGCGATACATTAGTTTGACGTAATAACGTTGGGTATAAAACCATCCCATAAAACCATATAATGGTAGCGTTAACTGTTCCGAAGTTTTGGTAGCCCTGACAACAAAACGGTTTGTATGACGATATGTGCTTTAGTCACGTTATTTCATAAAAAATTAATTAGTTGTCTACTCATATTGTATAGCTGGGTGATAACTAATGCTAGCGTGCCATGTAATTGTAGAAAAACTATTGTCGCAGCACTTGATTAACGAATTTTCAAGGACTTTGCGACACCATATACCACAAAATGATAAACACTTTTGCACTTGATTTTAAAATCAGAGAGCAAACTCCCAAATTTATTTCCAGTTAACTTAAACTTTCGCTTGTGCATAAAGCATAAATAAAATAAGTAGCGCAAAATGTGTCACAATACTACAGTGTCTGGGATCATGTACCTAAATGCTGACAATACGCCCTCTTTCGGACATCCAACGGATTCAACTAGTTCAGGACTTAATAGTAGAAGCTTTTGCTTAACGAGCATCTGTATATATCATCATGTGATCACCTACGCTTCCAGAAGGGGACTCAAGTGTATCTGACGGGCAGAAAAGAATCAGTAGTAAGTCGTAATATAATAGTGGCTTGAGTTCTTAAGAATTCCAAGGCTTGACTACTCACTAAAATTATATGTAACTAGTGTCCAGTTCTCTGTATTGTACCGTTGATTTCTGACTTCTACCTCTGAGGTGTGTATTGGGATTGACCTTAAGTAGACATTTTGGAGGGTACGCAAGAATGTTTTAGGATGCTACGGTCATCAAAAGGTCGCATCTCAATTGCTTGTACTCTAATTGGTAAAAATCTAACGAATTAAGGTTTTCTTCATAAAGCTTGAACCCAAGTCCTAGAACTGACCTCATGGCCCACCATTCGATACGTTCTAGAGTAATCTTATCTTATCTTCCCATACACCAAATGTGGTCGGGTTAACGTTTTAAAGATTGAGTGGAAATTTTAGATGTTAAACAGACCGAAAGTATGCTTCAAAATCTTGCTGACAGAAACATGAAAACCACTTTCCTTCCTCTGTGCTTCTGTATGATCATAATATTTATTCGAAAAGTTGGTTAAAGTATACATACCACTTCTACATGTAGTAGAATTTTAATGAGCTTTACCTTTTACTAAATTCACAGTTTTGAGTTCACGTGAAGTTTTTCTTCTGGTGATTATTAATTTTTGTATAATTTCCTATGGTTATATCAGAATCCGGCCACATTATTCAGATCTATAAGCACGACGAAAAGAGTTGCATTAATTAGGTTAATTTAATTTTATTCTGTAAAATTAACCCTCGAATCTGGCTTGCACAGGTTGAAGTACAATCTTATTTTTTAAATGCTACCTCTCAACGTTAGAAGTTTCCCCTCATATTGGAGAAATTTCTTACTGAAGGGCCTGACCTTGCAGACAATGT